AATTATTAAATATACTAAAATACATTTGCATTTATTTATGATTATTTATTGTCATTAAATATGATCTTAAATAAATAGTTATATCAAAAATAGAGTTGGTATGTACCTTAGGGTGCTTAAAAAAAAAATATTTTTTTAAGTTCGATTATCTCATTTAGGTGATTAAAAATAGTGATGTGAAATTTGGAATTTTTTCAATAAAAATAAAAAAAGTTTCTGAGAATATTAATTTTGTATCGGAAATTTGTCTTTCATTCGTATCAGGCCAAGTGATATATTTAGATTTTAACTCCCAAAAAGACGAAAATACTAGCTTTGTTCTTGTAAAGCATTTCACCATATCCTACCCCAAGCAGTGTAGCTACATTCCGAATCGCCGCATTTTCACCCGATCAACCCAAACGATATAAGGTTATAGCTACCTATGGATGTTGTTCATCTGTGCACTGTCTTTGATCAACGTAAATTGAAAGGGAAACGCCCTTCGCCTAAGTGGTCAAGAACATTAGATTCCATTCCAAACACTTAGGCACATTTGATAATTTCCGCGAGGGCTCGATAAGATAACTGTAAGATTTTCATCCAATTCATCCATAGTTTTCCAATAGCTATCGTCGTCTAAAAAGTTCAAATATTTGATTTTTTGAAGCTTAAAAAAGTAAAATAAACAGTTACCATCCAGATGTATATTAGAAGGGGGTTCTTCAATTATAAAACAATTTCTTCAATTATTAACAAGTTTTTGTTTCTCAGTGTGTGACATTTTAAATAAATAAATTCGTTAGTTTTCGCGTATTCAGTATTGACTGCAAAATTCATAAGATTCCACCGAAACGGCTTTACCGATTTTTACAAATTTTATATATATGCGTATTCAGTAGGTCTGGCAATCGGCTACTATCTATTTTCCATACCCCTAACCGATAAGGGTTGATTACCCTTCAATTTTTATTTTTAATTTTTGGACGTTTTTAGCCATCATTATTGTTTATGTATCAAGTGTAGTAGTAAATTTTACAATTATCATATTCCTATGTCAGTGTAACTCTCATACGGATATTAACTATTAATAAATATTATCTAACGATAACATTCAACGACGCTATGTATAGTATAATGAAGCATTGATTGCTATTGAGGATATTTGCATTGTCATTACCATCTTATCACTCTCATTTCGGTATGAATTCGCAAAATCGAACTGCATCTGATTTAATTAACACTGAAATGAATCGTTAACTGTACATAGTACAACACTGTAGAAATGGCAGCGATTGTTACTCAATGTCGCACTAATGAATGACGAACAAAGAACCATTTATGACCGTATTTTGCTCGCAGTTTCAGTAGGACAATTTGGGTTCTTCTCTTTGAATGCACCGAGTGGAACTGGCAAAACATGCCCTATTTCACTAATTCTTGCTGAAATATGATGAAATAATGGCATCGCATTAGTCCTTGCATCATCGGGCATTGCGGCAATTTTAGTGGATGGAGACAAAGCAGCTCATTCAGTATTTAAGCCTGGCACTAAATATTCAAAATAACCCTAACATAAAAAAACAATCGTCCATGGCCACCGTGTAACAGTGTAAAATTATCATCTGGGATGAATGTACTATGTCACACAAACATTCAATTAAGGCGTTGAATAGGAAAGGAAAGATATCAAAAGCAACGACAAACTATTTGCCGGCACTCTGTTGGTGCTTTCAGGTGATTTTAGACAAACACTTCCCGTCATTCAACATACGCTGATGATGAGATCAACGATTGCTCAAAATCATCTCCATGTTGAAAAATTACAGCTGAAAGTAGATATGCGCGTTCAAATGCTTCAAGATCCATCCGCTGAAACATTCTCAAAACAACTCTTTAATATCGGTGGCGGAAAAGTTGCTACAGATGAAACTGGATATGAAAAACTACTGACCGATTTCTGCATATATCGGGTCAGCTAGTATATATATATATATTATATAAATATTAGCAACTAATATTTTTGATGCTTTCAGTTTTCTTTTGATTTCTTTTTTACACAAATAAACAGAAAAAATATTAACCAAACCATTTGTTTCAAAATCACAATTTAATTCAAACAAATAGAGACGTTATAAATATTGAACGAGAGATAAGTGACGCTTTAGAAAAAAATTATGGATCTTTATATGAAGTGAAAACCATGAATTTGTTCCTCCTCAACGTCAAGTTTTCGTGGAAGTCTTCAAGAGACTTAAACGAAAGATCAATCGGGTCCGACAAGACATCGCAGCCAATTTTCTAGTGAACAGCGACTTAACCAAGGATGGCATCCCAACGCTTCCGCAGCCGGTTGTAGCCCAGATGTGGCCCCCAGGACTTTTTTATTTTGGCGATGAGGTCAAACTTTTTGAGACGACAGAGGGTTCCAAGCAGCATGCACCTCGGCTCTCAAAGCTATGCCTTCCGTGACGCCTTCAATGCATAGAGATCACGCTGGCAGCGCTGCATCGACGCAGAAGGAGCCTATTTTGAAAGTTTTTAAAGAATTATAACGAGTGGTTCAATACATTTTTCTAAATCGAATCAGTTTTATTACTTTCCGAAACAAACATACAAACCTTGATGGCGACGTTTGAAGCTCAAAGGCGAACTTAATCACTGGCAGTGCCATTGGGGGCAGAAGCAAAAGTTAAAAGACAACAAGTTACCGACTACTGCGTTGACTGCAAAAATTCATAGTTTTCTTCGCATATTCTGCACATTTCCTGTGACGAATTCGAGCTCTGAATTTTCAATTTAGTAGGATTTGATATATACGTGTATATACGGCAAAAGATTTGTTAGAAAAACCAAGGAGTCATTATACAAATCAGCTGGATGCTCAAAAATCCTGGTAGTTTTCATATGGGCTAAGTGAAGGGTTCGTCCAATTTATATAAATATTTATTTTAGGCACAGTAATATTATCAGGCATGTTCTGGAAATCGCACGATTTAAATCCGGCACCGAATTTTTAAATGCGTGAATTTGGTAACAGTATTCCACAATTGCAGAGGGAGCATTTCAGCGCTCGTTAGGAAAAGACACCGACTTATCCCTTGCAAGAAGTACCGTGTGTAAAGTTTTTAATGAGATGCTAAATGCTTTAGAAAAAGCACTCCGTCCAAAATGAATTAAATTAGAACTGAGTGAAGAAGAAATTAGAATGTCGAAAGCACATGTTTTCAGAAATTTCATTATTCTCGGAATAATCGGTTGTGTAGACGGGACACACATAAAAATTACGAATCCGCACCAAATTGGGGATGTGGTATGGTGTTGGTGATATTAATTCAGTTCTTTTACAGATTTGCGATTACAGAGTGCTCCAGTCACAAAACCTTTATATTTTCTTTAAGTGGTGCCAAACAATATCTTTCATCCAAGTATGCGGGCGGAGACCGCAGATCTTGGCTACTAGGTGATTCAGGATATGGCTTGGAACCATATTTACTTACCCCTTATCGTGATGCAAACGCTGGGTCACAGCACAAATTAAATTTACAACACTCCACGACAAGAAATATCGCTGAGAGAGTAATTGGAGTCCTCAAGAGCCGCTTAAAATGTCTTCAAATTCAAATTATAAATGTATGCAGTGCTTTGCACAACATTTGTCGCCATTATAACCTGGATGCCTTTGCTATGGATGTAGAGGACGATTTAACAGCCATCTACAAACTGCCGCTGTATCCATTCGAGATGAAAACGCAAATATCTCAACGCGTATAGTTTAATTTTCATATTTTTTATTCAATAAAAACATCACATTTAAGTTAAACTTTTTGACTATGAGATCATTTAACAATATTATTATTTGGTAAAATTAATTACTCGATATTTTTAGTATTTTGTTTGAAATACTTAAATATCACTTTAGTCTCGAATTTCTTCGATTTCTAACATGTTCTGCTTAATTACATTTTTAGTGATCAAGCTTTCCTGCTTGGCTAGATAATACTTGCGACTATATTGGTTTTCTTCTACAATGACCTCCTTTCGTTGCGCACTGATTTGGTCAATTTATCCATATTTGCAAAAAGAAGCTGCAAGGTATCAGATATCATTTGAACTRCAMCTGCCTCTGTTGGCATGTGCTGTTTGAGGCAATCTTGCACTGTGTCTTCGTGCCGTCGTTTTCGTGGTGTGGACTTTGCTCCGCCGCCGGCAATTTCATCAGTACTTGAAAGCATGGCATCCAAAAATCGCTGGCGWCATCAACAGTATTAATATTAACCCCAAATGAAGAGCTATTTGCGATGCCTTCCACGGCCGTATATATCCGCAAATTTTAGCTACTTCTTCCTCACTGGGGATTAGCGAAAATTTGAAAAAGTTGAAACGTTGAATTTCCCTCCTCCAGTAGCTTTGCTTTCGCATATGTTGTGTGCGATTTTCTTCCGAATGCAGTCTTTCCAATCGGACCATACCTATTGAAAAAATGTTAGTGCAGTTCACATATACTATCGCGTGATATTTTTCTCACTTTTTTTCAGCCATGTCTGGATTTTTGCCCATAAAATTAAAAAAAAAAATGCTTTCTCGACTTTGGCTTTTATGTTTTCCCCTAAAATAAGAAAAGGAAAATATTAGTTTTTGTGAAGAAATCCAAATAACTGGCTCAAATACTTACATCTTATGTTTTAAAAGCAAATTCAATAATTTCGAGCACTTCCTTTTGACCGATATCAAAACGCCAAACAATTTGCGAAATCGAATTTTTGCGAATTTCTAGAACATGCCATATCGCACTGATTTTATGTTCGAAAAATGTGTATTCGTAACCGCAAAGTGGTATTCAGAACACCGTCTCATGATTTCATTATCATTTTCATGCGAAAACGATTTCTGGAACATGCCTGAAATTCTCATT